TTTTATATATGATAGTTTATATCTTCTTTACTGCTGCAATGATAAATTTAATATGAACGTAACTATTTTATTTTACTGGTTAAAATATTTCGAGACATTCTGTAGAGATAAAAATGTATATAGTATTCATATTTTCCAATAATATTTGACACAAAACTTCACCTTTCGTTTTGAGGTTTCGGTAACAGGCAGTATAATCTGCAATAATTCTTGAAATCCCATTGATTTTCCGTAATATTTGTACCTGTCGTTCGCAGTTCCCATAGATACATATATTTCAAATTTAATATTTCAAAATGCAACAACGTTTCTACCGCTGATTGTAAAATTATTTTAATTATAGAGTTGTCAGGATATAAATTACTGCAAGAGTAATTAATGCCAGTTTGTATTTGAACTTCACCACATAATAAAGGTAAGAGTCATTTTTAATGTGATAGATAAATAATTTTTAAATCCTTGATTTATGGGCAAAAAAAACAAATATTTATTATGGATTATTTGTACCCATTTATAATTTTTCTACTATAGATCTTTTATATTTTTTTTCTGTGTACATCATTCTCTCTTAGATTGAATAATCTTTTTTGTTTATTATCGTACTTTACACGCCAGTAAATGACCGTATTGGAGTGTAATTTTCCCCGTTACGGCGGATTTGATTGAGAATTTGGATGTAGGTTCCTCTTACGCTTTACTTTACTTTTGGACCTGAGCACAGAGTTGATTTTAATTGGGAGATGAAAGCCACCTCTTCTGTCTCGGCAGTGAAAAATCATACGTCCAAAATAGGTGCGAAAATGAATAAATGGACTAATTATAAGCAAGTTTTACTCCATAGAGTTTTTAGTCAATACTTTTTAAGTTATTTGCAAGTAAAAATGTCCATTAAAAAAAAACAACAGGTTTTCAGACGGTTTTTGTCAAATATCTAAAAAAAGTGATTTTTTGTAATTTGTAAGTAATTTTATTGAAAAAAATATTTTTAGCAAAAATGTAGCTCATAAAACAACAAAAGAAATGGTGCATTTATGAAGTATATAGACCCAGTAAAAGCGGAGTTGTAGCTCATGAAAAGTAGATTCTTATTTGTCAAAGTTCAAATCCATATCTCATCGTTAAATATAAAAAAATTAAGCAGTTTTCGGGAAAAACTTTTTTGAAGTATTTAAAAAAGCTTTATTTTTGTTTTTTAAAAAAGTTTTTAGCGTCAAACCTAAGCGAGTTACGTTCAACATAATGTTGGTTCCTTTTTTTTTAATCGTGAAAATAACCCCCAAATTAGCACCCCAATTTTTGAGACAAAATTTTTGAAATTTTGAAAAAATGCCTTTCTTTCAAAATAACAAAAAAGCATAAGTGATACGAAAAATTTCGAAGAGTAAAATAATGTAGGTTTTGCTTCTTTGAACATAATGTTTTTTTTTGTTTTTTCGTAAGATAAAAATTGGTTAAAGAAAAACACGTTTTCAGACGGTTTTTAGCAAATATTTATAAAAGTAAGTATTTTATCGAAAAAAATGTTCTTAGCAAAAATGTAGTTAAAAAAAAAACAAAGAAGTAGTCTATTTATGAAGTATATAAACTCGGTAAAAGCAGAGTTGTAGCTCATGAAGAGTAAATTGTTATTGTTCAAATTCCAAGTCGAATATATCAACGTGAAATATTCAAAAAAATGAAGCACTTTTCGGGGAAAACTTACCAAAACTTTTTTTAAAGTACTAAAGAAAAGCTTTATTTTTGTTTTTTTAAGTTTCTAGCATCAAACCTAAGCGAGTTTCGTTCAAAATAATGTTGATTCCTTTTTTTTGGTAAAAAAATCGTGAAAATAACCCCTAATGAGCGAATAAATCTTTACCACTTAACAATTTATTTTATTTATGTATTATTTATGAAATCTACAAATTTGACCAATCAAAAGTGTTTATTTTTGAAAAAATTTGGTTTAAAAGTAAAAGAAACTTTTTAAAATTTTGAAAAAAATGCCTTTTTTTTCAAAATAACAAAATAGACGAAGAATTTTAGTGATACGAAAAATCGCGATAAAAATTGGTTAAGATATAGATGTTTAAAGTTTGCATACACTCGTGATTAGTGACTAGTTCAAGCCCTTTCACCTACATCATCATCAACCTGTATGCGTCCACTGCTGGACACAGGTCTCCCTCAGCTCTTTCTATATGTCTCTGTCTTGTGCGGCTTGCATCCAGTTATTGCTAACACTCTTCAGGTCGTCAGTATATCTAGTTGGTGGGCCTCCTCTGCTCTGGATTGCTTCTTGTCTTGGCCTCCACCCTAAAATAGGTTTTGTCCATCGGTTGTCTGATAACCTGGCGACGTGTCCTGCGTAATTGAATTTTCCGAGGCGATTTTTTTGATAGCGTCTGTTGTTTTGTTCTACGACGTATTTCTTCGTTGGGGATTCGGTCTCTCAGAGAGACACCCAACATCTGGCGCTCCATAACCATCTGAGTCACGCGAATCTTATTAACTACCTTTTTGGGAGTGTTAATGTTTCCGCTCCATAAGTGAGTACACGTAACATACATTGGTAATTTTTTTTCTTTTGAGGCATATGGGTAGATCCGATTTAAATACATAGTTTAATTTACCAAACGCTGCCCAGGCTGATCCTATGCCCTTCAACTACAACCCTTTTAAAAATCAGAATTAAAAACTTTTTTAATGATCTTATTACTCGTAAAAAACCTACAAAATGTATAGTTATAGTTTCAACGAAAAATAGGTACTTATTACAACTATTCGAATTTCTTCGCAAGGGTTGTTTTTTATAAGGTTAAATATTCTGCGTTAAAAAATTAAAACAGTAAAGAAATCTAAATTTAATGTAACTGTACATATAATTAAATAACTCCAATTTCATCCCTAAAAACTAAAAAGCAACCAATGACACAAATCCAATTTTAAAGTAGAGGATAAGTATAACCTTAATCCAAATTTTCATGCAAATCAGTGGAGATAAGGTATTCAATAATATTGTTTTAATTATAACTATTCTAGGGTGTGAGATTTAGGAGTTAAACTGTGATAAAATATTAAATATTGTGTTTATTGTTAATTGATATTCACTCACTTTTTTAAAAGATGATTTGAGTGAACTACCCGCTTAATTAAAATTATAATTAAAATTAATTTACAATTATACGAATTTTTTCTAGTAGGGGTAGTTTTCACCCCTACAAAATAAAAAGTAACCAACAGCACAAACCAAAAGTAAAGTGAAGGGTAAGTAGAACCTAAATTCAAATTTTTATGCAATTAGGTGGTGACACGGAAAATTACAGGGTATCGCCGTATTTCACGTTAATTTACTGACCTATTAGTTAGATCTTGTTTATTAGTTTCTGGTATTGTATCTCAAATAATTCGTACATTTTGCGCGTCCTTAAGTTTAAACCTTAAATAGCAATTACTTTAAAATGTCACAAGAAAATAGCTTCAGAATAACTCTATATCTGACTCATCAGTTTTCCACGTATTTTCAACGTTCTGACGGTTTGCGTGATAAACTTCGGACAAGTACAGTAGCACCAGTAGAGCACAAATCTCAATCGCATTGGAAGGTGCAACATCTCAAGGTCGGGAAACATTGTGGCGAATGGACTCGATATTCTTCTTCTTTTTGATATGCCTATCCGTTACGAATGTTGGCAAGATAATCTTTATCTTACCAACATTCTGCCAACATTGCCTCTGCATCAGCGCGGAAAAGCTGAACAGATGTATTGAACCAGATTCTGAGGTTCTTTAACCAAGATGTTCTTCTTCTTCCTGAACCTCGCTTGCCAAATATTTTTCCTTGCAGGATGGCTTGAAGGAGAGCATATCTGGATTCATTTCGCATAATAGACTCGATATATTGATTTCAAATTAATCATACTATCATCCATAAAGTATTCCCATATTTTTCTAATACCTTTCAAAGGCCTGGGAATTCGTTTTACAGAAGAAAAAATGTGTATTAAGTTATGTGCTCTGGTTTTTATAATCTTAAGAAATGATGATCATTAAAGTAGGCGAGTAAAAAAACAGTAGACGAGTAGTCACCCCAGTGTCACAGACCTTTCAACTAACTATTCAAATATAAGCGTAAAATTTACGTCACATAAAATAGTCATTATAACGCACAACTTTAAGACAGTTTGGACACAGAATAAATAACAATCGAATGCCCACTTTCAGATGCCGCCTTTGAAGTTTTTTAAGGCCGGTCGTCATAGTTTAAACGGAAACACAGACTCTAATTGAGAAATTTGTGACAAGCTACGACAAAAGTGTAATTTAAATTTTTAGAGAGTAACAAATTTGTGTTTGTTTTTAGAAAGTAAATTTGAAATAATTTAATATATTCTTCAACTAAAAGTACGAATAAAATAGTGCATATTATGTCTATGGTTGCCGTAAATAAATTAAACCGGGTTAATTTTTCTATGCACAACAGATAAAATTTCACTGAACAGCACTGGTTCCGTTTAAAACATGGCTGATTCCGTCTGCACAAACTAGATGCGCGTACTTATCTTGACAAGCAGAGTGGGCATTCTGATTGTTTATTATTCTGTGATTTGGAAGTTACTGTGCTCCCGAGTTTCTTAGCTTCCCCACTTTTGCCAAAATCATAAATTGAACTTTGACCCGGCTTGCTAGATCGTGTGCGACTACTTTAAGGTTAAAGGTGGTAAACGAGGTATTGATATTAGCATCTTTATATTTTTTCCAAACCCGTGTTAAATAAAATACAATTGAAAAAATACTGAGTCGAAAAATAGATGAATTTGCATAAAAAAGAATAAATAAAAATAATTCATTCGTTTACATATTTAATATTTTGTGTATAAGTTCTTTATTAATTTTTGTTGGTCATTTAAGATAGTTATGTATGCCTTACTGCATTGTTTTCGTTTTATTGTCTTGCTGTTATCTACAAACTGCTCTAGAATATTATGGATTTGTGCTGCTGCTCTTTAAACTTAAAAGACATGGTAAGTGTTTTTTTGTTACTCGATATATTTATTTGTAGCCTTACTTTATAGCGGCAATATTTGTAAGTATTATGAATCTGCTACTTGGACTCAGGATGATTACACACCAAAATCTGCGCAGGAAGGCAATACTTTTTTTTTGGAGGTGAGAATCTTCAAAAGGCCTCTGGGAAGGTATCCCAGGTGTGTTGGATTCGGACGACTATGCCCTACCGTAGTTAACCTCCTAACAACTAAACAAACTCACCCCTCTTTCTCTAACCGATGGACCTGGGACCGCTCTTAGCGAGCATTACCATCTGACTTGTCAGCTTTACTCATAACTCGGATCTGTCGCTCCTTACAAACCAAGTCACCGGACTTGGTTTGTAAGGTAACCATCCTTGTACAGAGCATCCAAGTATTTTACGGTCTTCTGAGGTCTTAGGTCGGAGCCTCTGAACCAAAAATTTACGTTTTTTCTATCAAGTGGCTTCCTCAAGATGATTACTTCTGTCTTTTCTACTGCAAGTTTTAGGTCATTTCTCTGTATCCATTCTGCCGTGTTTTCTATTGCTTCATTTACTTTGTTTATAATACCCGTTTCGTATCGTTTGCGTATGCAATAGCCCTTACTTCTTGTGTTTTATTTACTTCTAGTATCCCGTTGTATAAACTATTCCACTTGGCGTACTCCAGCAGTCATTTTCATCTTATTTTCTTCGATATGCATACGCTTCTTTGCGATAGGTAGTCATTTATTATATTGGATACATATTTCGGGGTTCCAAGTTCGACAATCTTGTCTACTATGAGACTCAAGTTCGCTGAATTAAAGGCGTTTTTAATGTTCTATAAAACAAGTACGCAATTCTTTTTGCTTGCTTTCACTACGTTTCTTATCCAGATCGCGGCGTCGACTGTTGATCGACCTTTTCTGATTTCAAATTGTTGGTTGGATAGAGCTTTCTTATCTGCCAACACGCCTTCCAGCGTGTTTTTGTCAAGATTCTCACAGAACTTTCCAAGGCAGTCTAGAAGGCACATTGGCCTATAAGAGGATGGGGGTTTCCCAGGTTTTGAAAGCAAGATCAGATTTGCTTCCTTTTGTTCCCAGGGAAACTTTTGCTTCCGCAATAGATCGTTATATATTTTTCTGATCAAACCTGGTTTCTCTGTTGTTGCTATCTTCAGTGCTTTCGGTAGCAGTCCATCGGGGTCGGGAGCTTTTCTTGTCTTGAAGACCTTCAAGAAGGTTTGTTCCTTCTTGGTGGGAAGAGAAGCTCCGCCAATTGTCGTTGCTGCTCCTCGTCTAACTTATATGGAGCAATCATCTTTAGTGGGATCTTTGTTATTTTATATGCGTCGCCCATATGTCGTCTTCTGAAGCATTTTTTAGGTTTTCCACCAGGTGGAAAACCTAAAAAATGCTTTTAGGTGCCACCTTTCTTTTTTTCTTTCTTTTATTGTTTTATTGAGTTACTTTTTTACTGTTTTGTATACTTCTTTGAGCTCGTAGGCGCCATGGCTTCCCGTTAAATTCCTGCGAGCTCGGTGACACTAATACCGTAGGTCTTCAATCTCATCCGTTCACCAATAAGGGGTTCTTTCTTTGTTCTTTTTCTTTACGTTGGCCAACTCAACAGCGTTCTTTAGCACCTTTCTGAGTTGGTCAAGGTCAGATATTTCCCCTTCGTTTATTTTTCTGACCTATGATAGGTACATGTGCTTATTAAATGTTTTCCCAGTATATCCTATCGGTCGTCATATGATCTGCCCCTTTACCTCAATTTCATATGTAATGGATCGGTGGTAGATGAATAATTGATCGTCGAGGATGTCCCAGTTTTGTATTTGTCTGGATAGCCCTTCACTTGTTGACTTCAAAGTTTGTTTATTATTATTAAGTAAGAAGTCGAAACAAGACTCACAATCTTAATAAAAATCACGAGACAAGTGGACAGTTCGTAACTCTACACGAAAAACTCCAAGAAGATAAAAAAAAGTTTTGAAGGTATTTTATGAGCTTATAAGTACTCATACATTTGATTAAGTATTGGAATCCATTTGTCCACAAGTCCATAAAACAAATAGGACCTACTGAAGAGCTATTTTATGTAAAGACAGGCTGGTGATAACTATTCAGTAAACCAATGTTTTAAATAAATTGGTAATTATTCTTAACCCTGAATTTTTCTTTATATACAATTGTTAAAGAGTGTAAAAACAACAAAGTAATACGTTTTAAAAAATTCAATGTAATTCAGATATTGTATAAATATATTCAATCCATACTTCGCCAACAGTAAAGGTAGAAAAATAAGTTGAAGCGTCTCATGAATTGCTCAGTGTTACAGTGGGCTGAAAAAGTGGTCAATGTTTTTAAAGGTTGCAGACTGACATTATTATTGGGTTTCCGGTTTTTCTTAATTTCCTTCATTAAAATTTCCATAATTTTATATCCCATTTGTTAATTTATAGAAAGGCTGTTGATGAATTCTCATCAGAAAATGATAACTTGTATCTTTTTCGTCTTCTTATTTTGATATTTTCCATTGATTACATGATGTCCAGTTTTTCTTTTTCGATATGCAACCTTTTACCTTCTTCTGCTGCAATGGCTTTGCATTTGCTACTTAAACTAGAACTTAAAGAAGTAGAAGGTGTAGAAGCTATAAAAACAACAGTTGTCGATTGTGGACAACTCGTCCCCCTGCTCACTGTTTCTCAGTGAGCGCTTCCTAAGTGAATTATGAGTAGTCACTTTTCAAGTTTCTTTCCATACCTCTCAAAGACAGAGTTACTAACAGAGTAACTTTTCTACAGAGAAAACGTTTCGCAAATTTTTTCATTTTTTATTTGCTACATGTATTAATATTTTTGTTGAAAATAACATTGTACAGTTTTAAAATTTTACTTATAATATATATATATATATATATATATATATATATATATATATATATTATATTTATATATTTGTAAAAAAGCTGCAATCGTTGTTTTGAATTGAACCGTCAAATATATGGCCAAGGAGGACAAATTCGTTATCTCTGCTTCATCAGTCACTCTGGCTGATACAAATTCAAACTCGGAAAGTCCAACGAATGTCTCCTAAAACTTAACCACTGCCGTGGTTAGCGTACAGAGGTGCCACCTACTTTGGTGGCCATTAACGAAAACAATTTAATAATATCGTTTTCTATCCTCTGGGCTATACGAGATGTGTAAAAGATTAAATATTTTAGCAAAAGGTGCTATCGCTTTGTTAAATTAAATTAAATGGCAAAGGAGCTCGAATAGTCGATAAAAAGTAGATTACTTTGAAATATTAAAAATCACTCGTCTTACAAACATAGACTATAGTTTTAAAAATCATATATTCGGACATATCGTTACTCTGTCTAACATCAATTTAGATGAGACTAATAAAATCTTCGGGTAAATATACAAATTGTATTCTCATAGAGGTATTTTATAAAATTATCATTCTTCTGAAGAAGCTGATGTTTCAGAGAGGCTGATATTTCAGTTAAGTTGACTTTGCTTTTTATTTTTGTAGCTACAGATTTTTATTTGGTATTTTCTACCGTAACCTATAAGTTATGTTACATCTATTTAATTTAAATGACGATGTGTTTCTTTCAAAAAGTAGACCATTAGTTAATATTTTAATAATAAGTTAATTATTCCAATTGGTTTTAATATATGTTTTTTTAATACAGCTCTTCTGTGAAGTAAAACAGGAACAACAAAGTGAAAACGGTAAGTGTTAATAGCTTCTCCTTCTTCTACTTTTTCTTTGTTCTCTTCTTCTTCTTTTTATGTAGAGATGACTATGTCTGTTTGTTTCCAAGAATGTTATTCCAGTAAGTTCTATCGTTTTCGTGGTATTTCTACTGATCGCCTTCCTGTTGGGGAACCGTATCTTGTCGTCATTACTATTCTATCTTCTATTTCAATTCTACTCTTCTATTTCTTACCCAGTTCTTGATGTTCTCCACCTTGCATCTATGTCGTATATCTGTGATTTTAGCTCTGTCCCATAGTGTTTTCATCTCTGCTGTTTCTAACTTCCTTTTTGTCCTCTCTGTGCCAGGTCGTCTTTCTGCCGCGTTTGTCATTATTGGTCTGATGACTGTTTTGTAAATTATGCCTTTCATTTCTTTTACGATATTTTATTTTTCCATATTCTTTCATTCAGGCAACCTGTGTCTCTGCTTGCTCTATTCACTTGATCTTCCACTTCAGTTTCGAGCTTTCCGTAGCTAGATAATGTGACCTAGATATTTAAACTTCATTACTTGTTCTAATATCTGACCTTCCAGCTCCAATTTACATTTTAGTAAATTTGCGGATATAACCATGCATTTTGTCATTTTTAGGGAAATTAACATGTTAAATTTTCTGGCGGTTATATTAAATTGTTGCAGCATTGATTGTAAACCATCTTCACTTTGTATTGCGTCGTCTGCATAGCAAATTATTTTAAGTTGTTTTTCTCCCATTTGGTATCCTTTTTTAGTTCCTTCTTTTTTTATTATGTCATCCATATTCAGGTTGAACAATAGAGGACTCAGGGAATCTTCCTGTCTTATCCAATTGTCAGCATTAATGAGGTCCGTTAGTTCTTCTTTTACTGCTATTATGTAGTTTTTGGTAATGGATAAAGTTTTTTTTTAATTTGACCCGGTCAAATGCCTTCTTAAGTTCGACGAAACATAGATGTGACAATTAGTTGTATTCTAATGATTTCTCTTCCACTTGCTTCATTATAAATGTAGCGTCGGTGCATGATCTTCCCGACCTAAAACCTTGTTGTTCTCTGCTGCTATAATTTCATTAAGTTTATTGGTTATCAGTTTGGTTGTTACTTTTAGTGCTGTGTTTAATATATGAATTCCTCTGAAATTTTCCGGGTTTGATTTGTCTTACTTTTTGAAGAGAGGTATTAGCATACTTGATCTCCATTCTTGAGTAATTCTGTTTTGTTTTATTATCTTTTGGATTAGTTTTAATAG